ACAAATTTCGTGCACCAGGCCTCTAGTTTTCTATAAGTACGCTGACCTTACTAGATTAAAGATTTCATTGGGGCAGAGGTGCGGTGGTGAGTAAATTGCAAACATTTGGTGTCTTCAGTCTTTAAAAAAAATGTAACTAGAAACTTCATGAGATTCAACAGAATAAGTGTCCATCATGAAATCCAGGAGTCTACCCTGTTCCATCACCTTCTCGGCAAGCTATCCCCAGGGGCTACTAGAAGGGAGGGATAGTAACATTTTCATCTGTGAGTCCCCAGCATCTTCTGATGTTCCTGGTATATAGTTAGCGCTCAGTAATAGTATATTTTAACTTCATGTTGCAGGAATGATGAATTAGGAAGCCCTGTTCTGTGGGAATGTGAGGTGGGTGCTCTTCTCTTTTTGCCAGAACAGCCTCCTGATAGTACATTGATTCTGCTGCTGATTTAGCTGATGTCCATAGCTTTTGGATGTGGTCTCAGTCGTGTATATAAATTGCCAGCATACCAGGGTCTCATCACAGGGGACCTTCTTATATTGTCTAATGTCCAGCTTCTGTTGGAAAACTAAATGAGGGGGAAGGCAGGTATCTAGGAAAGATCCCCAGAGAGACATCCGGTCTGTCCACCCTAGGATCTGTCTTTAGATCAAACCATCACATTAGCTTTTCCATTATAGAGACATCATCATTCATTTGCTTTTTAACCTTATGCCTCAACCTTGATGAAGGCATAGCCATTGGAAACCCCCTCTGCATCCTATTATAAAATAGTGTGGAGGACATTGCCCATTTATCAGTGAGCAGCATTTACTATATATAAAACCCGGGGGAGAGATATCTTTTAGGATTCTCTGCCTGAGGAATCGTTATTTCCATTGTAGGGGCAGACTTTCTCCTTTCCAGCAGTGACAACTGTATATTTGACCATATTTCCTTGATTGTCCTGGTTTCCAGAGGCTCAGAATCATATTTTATTTAATTGAAGCAAAATCCACATAACATAGTTAACCACTTTTAAAGTGTATAGTTCAGTAGCATGTTGTACATTCTCAATGTGGTGCAGCCATCACCTCTGTGTAGTTACAAAACTCAAGCAGTCACTCTGTCCCCACCCCCTGGCAATTTCTAATCTACTTTCTGTCTCTGTGGGTTTACCTATATAGTTCAGCTATTTTTTAAATTATCTATTAACCTGCGTGGCCAAGGCATTTGTAGTTGCTTTTTCTTCTTCCTTAGTATTTCCTTATATTGCATATTTTGTTTAAAGCAAGCAGCCTCCAGACGTTTGTGGAAAGAAGCTGAGTGGAGACATATACAAATAAGGACATCCTTCTTTTTACCTCCAGAGCCACTCACCGCCCTTCTCCTTGCTGCTCTGTGCCATGCCCTGTTGCCCTGCATGACAGGCTCTCATGCCTCTGGCTCCTTCTGGGTTTAGCTAATAGTGAATCATGGCAGGAGGTCAGAGGGAGGGAGAACAGTGACAGAGGGTGTTTTTCCCTGGCTTCCTCCCTGTAGACTCACTGGGGCTGGCTGCATTCTTTGATGGAAGGTCCCAGCTCCTGTCAGGTAGCCCTTTCTGCAAATATCCTCTCCAAATCTTGGTTCCACTAACAGTTCTATCCTTTGCTTCTTCGGGTCTAGTGAGGCATGAGGTCTAATGGGGCATGGTGCCCTGTTGCTTTTGGCCCTAGAGTATTCCCTATGGTTTCCCTACAACCTTATCACATCTTTCTAAATAGCCCCTTATGACACTCTCCTCAAATTATCCTAATTTGAGTACCATCTGTTTCTGGCTAGGACTGAAATAAGCACCTTCTACTCTGTGGTTCCGTTCAGCTGTTAGTCATCATGGTTTGCTTAGAGTCCTCTATAGTTAGGCCAGTCTGGCAGATTCTCCTAGGGCCAGATAGCGTCCTCTCCCAGACACCCAGTGCATCCACATCTCTTCATGGCCTTGAGGTGAAGGGTATTTGTCTATTTCTTGGGTGATTAAGCAATCTCTGGAGATATGGTGTCAGGAACCTACCCTTCCTCTATGTTGTGGCTCCATGCCCCTGTCTTCATGGCTGAACGTGGCTCACCAGTTCTGGGCACATATGGTAACAGCAAGAAGTAGGAAATGAGGAAGAGGCAGACACAGCCATTTTTTCAGAGCACATCCAAAATGGGTCACATCTCTCTTCCACCCACTTCCCATTGGCTGGAACTTAGTCACAGGGCTGCACCTCACTGCAAAGGAGTCTGGGAAATGCTGTCCTTAACTGGAAAGCCATTTGCTCAGCTAACACTTAGGAAGCTTATTACTGAAGAAAAGGGGAAGATAGGATACCAAGGGACAATTGTCATTTTCTGTCATTTGTAAGAGATTAAGTTAATAAGTAACAGAGAAACTTGATTACTCTCATCTGTTAAGCTAAGTAAGTTTATCTTTAGCCATGAGCAAACCAGATGGGAGAGCATATGTGATTGCCACCTCACAAACCTACCTATTAAAATTCAACAAGTCTATAGGAAGTCATTTGGGAAATTAGTCCTTCTAAAATTAGCCCTTCTAAAGTTCTATAAATACATGTAGAAATAGCCTGGTAGGCCAGAGCCTCCTGTGAGGTTCAATCTGAGCAGGAAGAGAGGTTGCCAGGGGGCACCACGCTCAAAGAAGAGGACAGCAAGCTTCTGGATGGAGCTGGTGACATCAGAGCAGGTGCACGTGGGTTGCAGCAGAACTTTGACTATTAGAGTTGAGAGGCAGGCAGGATCAACTACTCTCATCATGGAAAGACAACTAAAACAGGGGCTTCAGGGACTGACCCAAAGTCTTTCTAGGGCGCCCCAACTGCCACAGATGAGGAGCAAACCACTATTGCATATAGGCACAGGGACCACTCAATATAAACCCCTAGGTGAGGGGAATTCAGACAGCAAGGTGAGCAAGAGCAGAGAGTAGCAGCCACTGTAGGGTTAGGTTGGGAACAATCTCTGGGAGTTAGTAATAATATAATGGGGAAATGACAGCCATGAAACTGCAGAACCAAAAAGTCCTCTTAGCAGACCAAGATTGTTGGCTCCTTCCAGCTATTAGCAATGAGGCTCTGCCCTGGAATTGACAGGAAGAGATACAGGCCCTAATGGTCTCTCAACCATTTTTAGAACTAAATAATTTCTTTTTTTCAATATGTTTTTAGAGAGAGAGGAAAGGAGAGGGAGAGAGAGAGAGAGAGAGAGAGAGAGAGAGAGAGAGAGAGAGAGAGAGAGAGACATCGATGAGAGAGAAACATCCATCAGCTGCTTCCTACACACCCCCTAAAGGGGATTGAGCCCACAACCCGGGTATGTGTTCTGACCAGGAATCAAACCGGTGACCTCTTGGTTCAGGGACCACACTCATCCAACTGAACCACACCAGCCAGGGCAAAATATTTCTTTTTTTTAGGACTAAATTATTTCAATATCACCAATCATTTGTTGCTGGCATGAATATTCTGTCTTTACCTCATTTAAGAAATGTGTTATTGCATCTCAGACTGAAAATGGCTCTCCCCATGCAACTTTCATCTTCGGGAGTCAGTGCAGACTGCCTGAACCTCAGCAGCAGGAGTACAGACTTCCTGTTTACTATATCTGAGTGGCGCCTTGGTGATAATGACAAGTTGTATTAATGAAGTCTCAAACACCAGAGCAGTAGGAAATGAGAAAGACAGTCTTGAAAAATGAGATGACTCAAGGCTTGAGGTCATAATATATCAATGATAATCATGTTCTATAAGGCACTTGGAAAATTATAAACTGTTTAATTACACATTGATTTTGGTGTAATAAACACTTGAAAATATACCATTTTATAGGTAAGCAAGCAGACTTGGAAGGTTTTAGTAACTTGTCTAAAGAATCATAATCAAAATATTGTGAAGAGAAGAGTTAAATGCAGATGTTCTAACTCTGTGTCCAGGACTTTTTCCTGTATGACCCCTGCCTCTTCTGAGCTTTAAGCGATTTCATGAGTTTTCTCATTTGTCCATACATTCGTTCAACAGCTATTGATTGCACACTCCTCTGTACCCATCACTATCCCAGGCACTGAGGATGCTGTGATAGACAAGGCATAGTCTCTGCCTTCGCAGCAAGCCTACAGTCTAGGGGGGGATAGAGGCATATAACCCACACTGCCTTTTATGCCACTGAGGTGTCTGCTACAAGCAGGAATACAGCTGGCTGTGGGCGCACAGAGAAACCATGAATCAGGAGAGGATCCCCAGAGGAACTGATGTTTACACTGTGTCCCCAAGGTTCAGTGGGACCTGAAGGAATGAAGAGTATTCCAAAGCAAAAAATAAAGCATGTCTGAAGTCACTCCTGAGGGAGAGGTGACCCCAGATCAGGTCTAGATTAATGAAAGAACCAATGGATTTACAGATTCAACAGTAAATGCATTCCTGCTGTGTGGCTAATTAGAGACATCATTTATTTATCTACCCATCTATCCATCCATCCTTCCATCCTCCCTCCCTCCCTCCCTTCCTCCCTCCATCCTTCCCTCCCTCCCTCTCACTTTCCTGCCCTACCTTCCTTCCTTTCTTCAAGCCATCCAGCCATCCAGAGTAGGTGCTAAGATGTTTATTACATGGATTAATTAATTTTAAAATATTTATTGAGAGACCTAATATGTGCCAGGCACTGTATGCGCCAAGTGATGTAGAGGCATGAAGATACATGGACCTTATCCCAGCTGACGTGAAGCTTAGCATGTAATTGAAGAGACGGGCCTGTGCCCGTATTACTGAAGACCAGCTGCATGGAACAGGTGTCCTAAGAGATGCCCCAAGAAGTTACCACTGGCTGTGGGGATGTCATTTGGAGGAAATTTTAAGTTTCAGTGATGAAATCGATAGACCAATATCAGACTGAACATTATCCATTTGTGTGTGTGTGTGTGTGTGTGTGTGTCTGGTTGCTTATTTGTCTAATTTTGTTTTGTTTTCTGATATTCGTTCTTTCATAGATTCTGTGGCAACAGCATCCGGGCCATTACTAGTTGAAGTTGCCAAAACTCCTGGTGCCAGCCTTGGCGTTGCCCTTACTACCTCGATGTGCTGTAATAAGCAGGTCATTGTCATAGACAAAATCAAATCTGCAAGCATTGCGGACAGGTGAGTGTTGTAGGAAGCATCAGCTTTTCAAAACTGCATGTGTGTTAAAACACACACACAAATAGTATATAGACTAGTATACAGGTTTTTATATATGTATATACATGCATATGTGATACATATACATACACACATAGTAAAACACAGTTCTCCTGCCAATTTACACAAGTTTCAGCTAGAAAACAAGTTAGTGTACTAGGGCTTAAAAATTCACCTCCCTTATCAGCCACCCCATGATGTAATGTCACCTCCTCCAAATGTTTGGTGTGGCCTTTGAAAATGGAAAAGAAAAAAGTCAGGCTGAGCAAGTTTTCCTACCATGTCCTGGGACAAGGGCAGCTGAGCAGAACTTTATTAGGATCCATGCAGGGAAGCCATGGTGTTCCCTGACAACAGTTCAGTCCTGCCACCGTAAAGGCCCAGTCCTTTTTTCTTAAAGGAATAAAACAATTTTTTAATTACACCGTCTTTAAAGAAAGGTCCAACTTTTAGTATGTTAATCTTAGGGTTTCACAAACTTCGAGGGTCCCTAAAAACATCATTCATTCCTATGACAGTAAAAATAGGAAGTCCGTTTTCTTGAATTCCTTTTCCTAATTGGTATTTTAGACTTACAAGTTAGAAGAGGGATAACAAAGATGACTTTACCACCTAATACATTATGTTACAGCTCCCGGTAAGAAAATGCCCACCTCCCATAGCTGAAGCACTCCAAGTACCTCCACGTGGAATTATAATTGTAGATGGAAGAGATGACTTGAAATGCTTTTGTCTTGAGAGGGGGACTGTTCTCATGGTGGACATTTTTAGATAAGATTGAATGCCCAGTTCACCCTGCATGTCTTCAGCCCACTTCCCCATATGCCCTCACCATGCCTAGTACACCTCTGGCTGTGTGCAGTGACCTGCAGCAACCCCTGTAGTGGCCAGCCTACTGCCCCACTGTGGTCTTACCCTGCATTCTGTCCTTTAACCATGATGGCCACTGATCCAGGTGTGTCCAGTTCAGTGGTGCAGGATGCTCTCATTTCCTCCGTCTTTTCCCATCCACAGGGGGAAGCAGTGTCAGGAGCTGTCCACTTGCCTGGTACATCAAGTGTGGTGCTGATCACTGTGTTTTTCTCTGCTCACCCAGTAGCCAGTCTCTGAGCTCAGTGAGATGTAGCAGCCCCCCTGCCCCCTGCACTCCCCATCTCTCACCACGCAGGCCTTGGTTTAGTGCCTCCTGCATAATTCCCACCGTCTTTGAGAGCTTTTGTACTCATAAGTGTTTAACTCCAGAATAACAAACCAAAACACAAGAATACAAGAACTGGCGATCTGGGGGCCTGAGTGAAAAGATTATGAGGAAGCATTAGCTGAACTTCCCCAAGTTACTCCCCTTCACACATAAAATAGTTGTCAATGTCCCTGTTCAAACTCCGTGAGTCACATCTTGACATTCTGAATAGTTACCAATCGTATTTATAAACACAAAAACCTGAGAGGAAACATCACAGAAAGAGGCAAGGGAAACACATTGCCCATCCTTCCCTGTCCCCCTGCTCGTTTCCCCTCAACATTTGGCACCTTTGCCCCCAAATAATTGTGTGCTGGTTTTCGAAGGACAAGAGGAAAACACTTCATTGAGTTTTTCTGTATTTGCCACAAGGTTTTACATTCCTATTCCTATGTTCTTAACATTTGCCAGGGTGTTTCCTATAACACTCCAGTATTTTTGGTGGGGAGAAGGGGTGTAAATGGAAACTGGGAAATTTTAACTTTGAAGGACATGAAAGCCACATTCCAAAGAGGAAGTGCACTGAGCCTTTCCCCTCCCGCAGGTGTGGAGCGCTGCACGTGGGCGATCACATCCTGTCCATCGACGGCACCAGCATGGAGTACTGCACGCTAGCTGAGGCGACCCAGTTCCTGGCCAACACCACCGACCAGGTCAAGCTGGAGATCCTTCCCCACCACCAGACCCGCCTGGCGCTGAAGGGACCTGACCACGGTGAGGCCCTCGGGATAAGTCTCTGCTTTCTCTGCGCAGTTGCTGCTCCTTCCAGCAGAGCTAGGAAGATCCTGGGTTTAATTCTGCCTTAGTCATTTCTTTTCAAAACAGCAGGTTATCTTTGTTTGCTGGTCTTTATCCTCCGAATCTCTTTTGCTAAGACGCATGTCATTCACTTAAAAGCCCCACATTGAGCAAAGAAACCTTGTTTGAGAATGTTTTGAAGAATTTTCAGGCTAGTAATATTTGATATTTAAAAAACAAAACAAAACCCTTGGATGTACATTGAGTGTGGAGAGAAGGGAAGTTATTTGATAACCTGTTATATTAAATTTCCACTCTATTTGAAGGACAATGAAGGTAAATAGTAAAACTTTCATTTTGTAAATAGTTATAAAATGGGTATTAATAGCAGATCCTTCAAATATTTGGGAGTGGGGAATAGTTGTGTGGAGAGTTGATTTTCTCTATATTTTGTCTGTTTGCCAGAGGAGTGTATTTCTTACAATGGAGAACAACCTTTCTGACCAAATATCTTCCCTGAGAGAATCCTAATACTTGAGTACACCTATTCAATAGCAAGTGTCAGCTGAGGGAATCTACAGTGTTACCATCCCACAAATCACAGTTTGCTGAGTATTTATAGGGTGGGCAAACGTAGGTTTACAGTTGTTCATATGGAAAATAATACAATCATCCTATATAATAAAAGGATATTATGCAAATTGACTCTAAGGGTGGAATGACTGGTCACTGTGATGCACACTGACCACCAGGGGGCAAATGCTCAATGCAGGAGCTGCCTCCTGGTGGTCAGTGCACTTCCACAGGGGGAGTGCCGCTCAGCCAGAAACCGGCTCATGGCTGGCCAGTGCAGCAGCGGTGGTGGGAGAGGCCTCCATGGCAGTGCTAAGGATATCCGACTAAGCCGTTAGTCGAGCATCCCCCGAGGGCTCCTGGGCTGCCAGAGGGACGTCTGACTGCCAGCTTAGGCCTGATCCCCTGGGGAGCAGGCCTAAGCCATCAGTCTGACATCCCCCTAGGGGTCCCGGACTGCAAGAGGGCACAGGCCAGGCTGAGGGACTCCCCCGAGTGCATGAATTTTTGTGCACTGGGCCTCTAGTTAATAAATAATAATAATAGTAGAATAAACTCTGTGTTTCACATACTCACAACTGTAAACCTACTTTTGCCCTCCCTTTATATAGCCTTCACCTGGGCCTCTTTAAGGAAAACCTGGTGCAAGAAAAAGTACTTTGAGCCCAAAATCAAATAAAGAAAGACTCCCCAGTGGGGCCTTTATTCCAGTTCCTCCTCCATCCTTTTCCTTAAGACAAGTGCCCTCCTTTTTATTCCTGAAATCAAATCCTGGAAGCCTCCAAGGTGCCCTGGAGGTGAAGAAGGCACTGCTGTGTGTGTAGAGAAAGAGAACAGTTTTCTCTGTAATTGTAATTTTGCTTATGAGGAGGTCATTTGCGTTACGTGTCTCCCACCTCCTAAAACACACTGCACTTTTCCGCAATTTGAAAAAAAGAGAGGGACCAGTTAATTTTCATACTGAATGAGTCAGCTGGATGCAACCTCTTTTAATTAAATGGAGCTTAGGCAGCCCTGGAGCTAATGAAAATCTCTAGTACAGCATTACCTTTATCAGATTTTAATTTTACACATTGGAGTGGAGGGACGATGCCGTACAGGCAGGTTATGAAGAAACTCTGCCTCATGTGAGGCTCTCAAAGGACGCAGTTCCCGGGGGCCGCTCCTGTCGGGAGGCCCCATGGGCCTTTCCTGCCTGCAACTGGCTGAGAGGAGAGATTTCTAGGACTGTAAGTTTCTCCTAAACTCATCTGCAGCCGTCATGGATTTGGAGCACAGTAGGGAGGAGAGCGCACATTATGTTGCGCTTTTTCAGCGTGAGGTTTTGCTTGGCAAGTTCTGGTTTCAGTGAACCAGAAATGTTGAACAGACTCTTTAAAAATGTCATTGTCCTTAGCAACCTCATTTTTTCTCCTAATTATTTGCCCTGTATACAAATCATAAATAGTTCAAGTTGTTTCCAGCGTGGGAAATAATATGTTTACCTGCCAAAACAATTTGAGAACATGAATGTATACACTAAAATGTATGGAGACCAAGAACAAATTCTTTTTCTTCACTGTAGAGAACATGATGTCATTTATGATTTTTCAGGGAACTGGTAATTTACGTAATTCTAATTTGTGACCATATCATCCACTTTTGCTGACAATTGCTCACCATCTTCCTTATCGAGCATAGAAGCAGCTCCCTACATTTTACATTAAAATCGGACTTGCATTTCCAAAAGGAAATAAATATAGGCTCCTAAGCATAATTAGATCACAGTTATGAAGGGGGGAAAATAGCCCCCAAAATGGTGTTCATAATCCTCAAACTTCTCTTTTTGTGATTAGTAGCATTGTCTTACATAGTTTTACACTTTTTCCACAAGAAAGTTCTGGTTATTTTTCCAAGATCTCTGATGCCTAAACAGCATATCTCTCATCCCAGGTGGAGGGAGATACAACATTTTCCAAATTGTGTTTATCAACAAAGCATTCACCAGTGTTTTTATGAAACATAGAAATGGGCACATCAACTAGCAATCAGAGATTGACTGTGCCTTTTGCTAGTAAATAACCCAGCAAGAATGACTTTTCAATGAGGTTAGGAATTGTACCCAAAGAGGATCTTTGGGATACTTAATCATAATTGAAGGAAACTGAGACTTTAGGGGGTAAACGTAAGCGGAATTGCTAGGTTTGATATATTCTGTGCCAAGAGGATGTGCATCGGCAAGCTCCAGGAACCACCCCAAAGTTGCTGTTGCCTGTACCCTCAGATGCCCCAGACAGGGCAAGAGGGTGCGCTTAGAGAGGAAGACAACTCCAAGGCAGATACCTCTTAAGACTTCAGCAATGATGTCACCATGGAATGATGGAACAGCATTGTATTTTCACTATTTATTTATTTGTAACAAAGGCAGAGGCAGTGTAGTGTGGTGGCTGAGGGAAGGGACTCTCGAGTCGTTCTTCCAGAGTTTTAATTATGGCTCCACCACTTGGGACCTTAAGCAAGTTATCCAACTTTTCTATACCTCAGTTTCTTCTTCTGTAAAATGGATGTTAGAGTAATACCTACCTCACGATTCTATTGAGAATACTGTCTAAGATAATCAATGGGAAAGCACTTAGCCAGTGTCTGGTATATAGCAAGTATTCAGTGAAAGTTTTCTGTCATTATTGGGACCATTAAATGGGAAAATGTGTATGAATGTTTTTTTGCAAAATGAATTTGATAAAAATGTAACATTCTAGCTTTCTATAGTAACAAAGTCTAACCTATTCCGGTGCTCTCTCCTCTATGAGACAAGCCGTTATATAGACTTAGACAGTGTTTAAAAAAAATGTTAACATTTTCTTTTTAAACTCCTGAAATACTTGCCTAATATAAGACAGCCCCAAAAGTTCCCAGTTACTTTCAAAGCATTCCATAAAGAACCGGATCAAAAATTCAGTTTAGAATTCTGAAGTCCACTCACTATACTTCATGGGAAGCACAGGCAATATTTTGTAAAGAGTAAAATCGATGGCTGTGGGTGTAGATTAGCCGGGCCCAGCAATGATTGCACGTTGCTATAAAACATGGTGTTCTACACCATGACGTAGAATAAGGACGGTGAAGGAGAATCCATTAGGGACTTGCCTTGCAGCACTTTATCAGAAGGAAAATGCTGCAGCAATGCAGACATGGGCACTCTCCCTGATATTCCTATTCGTCATGCATTCAGTTATTCATTCATTCATTCGTCAGCCACTATGTAATAGGCTTGGTTAAAGTTGCTACAGTGCATCTAGTAAGCAAGACAGCAATGTAGATTCCTATTCTATGGATTTCTAATATAAAGGGACAAACACTGAAAATACATTAAATAAATGAAACAGTAATAAGTGCTATGAAGAACATAAAACAGTAATAGGATAGTGTGGGAGAAGGCAGCTACTTCCGTCACAGAAGTCGGCTACAACTCTGAGGAGGTAGCAGCTGAGCGGAGCTGAGATCTGAATGATGAGGAGGAGCCAGCCATGCAAACAACTGGGAGGAGAATATAGAGGCAGAAAGAATAGGAACTGCAAATGCCCTGAGGTAGGGAGGAGCCTGGCTTGTATTACCAACAAACCTAAGACCATTGTTGGTGGAACAATCAATGATGAGTGGAATGATAGGGTATGAAGCTGGAGAGATTAATAGCAGTCACATCTGCATCTCTTGGTCATTGTAACCCAGTGGTTCTGAACTTTCCAAATGCTGCAACCATTTAATACAGTTCCTCATGTTGTGGTGACCCCCAACCGTAAAATTATTTTCGTTGCTACTTCATAACTGTAATTTTGCTACTGTTATGAATCATAATGTAAATATCTGATATGCAGGATGTATTTTCATTGTTACAAATTGAATATAATTAAAGCATAGTGATTAATCACAAAACAATATGTAATCATATATGTGTTTAACGATGGTCTTAGGCGACCCCTGTGAAAGGGTCATTCGACCCCCAAAGGGGTTGCGACCCACAGGTTGAGAACCGCTGTTGTAACCCATTGAAGCAGCCAAAATGAAAATTTTCATATCAGACATAGTAACAAACTTAATATTGGTCATACTTTAGAACACTGAGTAGAAAATCAAATTGAAACAATACTGGAATTAGAATGGAAACACAGTATACATTTTTTTAAAAATAAAAAGGATGCCAACATTTTAAAATAAACTTTATTAAAATTTTGTAGCATCTTAAGGAAATATAAGAAAATGTGAAATATTTTAAGAATTGATTATTGCTTTCAAATGTAAGTACCTTCTTTCAAAAATACAAAAAAAATGTATTATGTTGAGACTTTTATCTTCTCCTTATTAGGATACAGATAAGATTCTGATATTGATAGATGATTTGAGTGATTTAATGTTGAGAAAAATTAAGTCCAAGTCCAAGTGATGGATCATAGAGCAATTAAGTCAGAGCAGTAAACTGTGATGTGTGGCCAGTAAACCACTTGAATCATGAGCCTATGAGATTTATTGTTTCTTCTTTTTTTCTCTCTCAAAACAAATGCCACTAACTAGCCAAGATTTGCAAATCTTCAATTACTAATCATGTGCCATAAATCATTATGGGGTTGACTTTTAAGTTTTAAAAAATGGTTTTAATCGCTGCCGTGAGGCACTGGGGGGAGATTAGAAATTGATTCAAGAGGCATCTTTAAAAGAGGGGGGAAATGGGCTGGGGAAAAAACATGCATTAGTCTTGGGAAGTTGAAAGTTTCCATCCTGATTTTAATCATCTGTTTTGCTGACCACTGAGAAAAGGGCAAAGGCAGTAGACAGTAGATTTTTTTTTCAAGAAGCTTTCATTTTTGTTACACTTCTTATTTGTGCAATTCAGTTATTTTTCCTCTTTTTTGGTTGTTTGTTTTTCTTATTTCCCATCATCACTTCATATGGGCAGTGAAAATTCAGAGGAGCGACAGGCAACTTACCTGGGATTCCTGGGCCAGCAGCCACTGCAGCCTCCACACCTACCATCACTCTAACGCGCACCACCCTGACCATGGCAGACTGCCGGCCCTGACATTCCCGAAAGCGCCTCCTCCAAACAGCCCTCGTAATGTTCCAGGCTTTCTCCTCCTGGTCCTTTATTTCAATTATCTTCATCTCCCTCCTTGCTCATCTGATTCATACCGTATTTGGTTTCATGGGCACTGTATGCTTTTTTCGTTGCAGCAGCTTATCATGTCTCACATCCCCCATGTCTTTTTCTTTTCCATCAGAACGCATATGGGGAGAGGATATAAATGTCCAGAATGCTTTACATGTGGTCAGGAAATAACCACTCAGAATGTTATACAGCGTACAGTATTTGCAGATCTTCTCTGAATATGTGGAATCACATGCAAAAGTCATGTCAGAAAATACCTATGAAAATGAGATTACGTATCTGACGCATTGTGTTGTTTATGAAGAAACTTGTTTTAATGTTTGGGATTTTAGTGTGTCTGAAGCAAAACTCATAGAGCTTCTCTGTGTTCCACTATGTGTACGGGGACCATCTGCCCCTCAGGTGTCCATGGGCTCTTGTAACTCAGAAGCTAAAGCGCTGCGTCCCGAGCCCTGTCTCTGTCTGGTTGGGGCACTTACTCGCTACCGTTGTGCGTCCTGTGTGTCTTCCTGGGTTGTCGCTGGTTGGCACGTGTGGCAGGCTCACACCCCACCTGGGAATGCTCTGTGCCAAGTCTTCATTCTCTTACAGCAGCTTTGGTGTCTTCATCCTTCTCTCCTACCTCCATGAGTGCATACAGCCTGAGTTCCCTGAACATGGGGACTTTGCCTCGCAGCCTCTACTCCACTAGTCCACGTGGAACCATGATGAGGAGGAGACTGAAAAAGAAAGACTTCAAAAGCTCACGTAAGTGGAATGGTAGCCAGTGCTGTGTGGCCTGGAGAAAGCGTGTGGGCAGATTAGAGTCTTTGGTCCACAGAGGTCTGTGGGAAGAGTTTACAGAGCCTGCTCATCAGGCCAGATGCCAAGCAGGTCCAGCTCGGTGCCAAAGACCATTAAAGTGATATCCGTTATCTCTAGGATAGTGATTACAGGGGATGCAATTTCAGATTGAATTAGTTCATACTACCCTTGCCTATGACTTTTTATGTGAAACTTTTTCTTGCTCCTTTGATCTAACAAAATGACTTAAGATGTGATTTTTTTCCTTTAAAACTCCTTCCCTGTGTTCAGGGTAGCTTCGAGCATGACCTTTGTTCTTAGTTTCTTATTCGCTCTAAAGCAGTTTTTTGAAAACTATGTCTCCTTTTTGGTAAATATAAGAACCTCACACTTTTGTTTAATGCCATTAATATCTCATTCCCTAAGATTCCAATACTTTCCCCAGGGACCCACCCCATTGAGAATCACAGCTTGAACATATATTTCTGTTGCCCACTTCAGCCTTAAGAAGATGAGAGGGATGTTCATCTTTACAACAAGCATCTTAAAGTCCAGGAATTTCAAATAGAATTCTTGGAAATATGACCCTCTGGGACAGCCATGCTCAGTATAGACCAAGCAAGACTAGGAAAGTGTGCTTGGCTACTTGCTTTTGGATGACTGGTTATACACATACTGGTAAAGAGAAAAAGGGTAATGATTGTGTGAACAGGGAAGAAATTCAAATAGCTCCTAATTTTTCTTGCTGGGGAAGATCATAATTTCTCATCATCATCACATTACGTTTTAGAGGAAGAGAACACCTATCTTTCCAGCGAGATCTAATTGTAGTCTAGAGCGTGCATGGGTTGTATCCTATGTGTCCCTTTTGGCCATGGTTGTGATTCCTGTAAAGAAGCTCAAAGGAGATAGGGTCTCTTCCTGGAATTACCATGAGAATAAAATAAAGAACACCCTTAAGTTACCTAAATAAAGCCAAACCCAGAGACTTCAAAGCTGGTAGTGAAGAGAGAATGTTCTTGTGAGAAGGGGTGGTTGAGCCTGTTGGCTCTTCAGCTTATTTGCCAGAGATTCATCTGTGCAGGTGGATGTGCTACCAGTCCCACCCGCGCCACAATCATTGTAGGAAACTGACCACCACCCAGCCCAGGAAACAGTCTCTCAGGTCATATAATTAGCTCTTTTGAATAGATTAAGTGTTAGCTGCTCTTCTGCCTGAGTCTGAGCGGTCCTGTGCAAAACTCTGTTAACATTCCTCTCAAAGTTCTGCATTTTTCACAGTGGTTACACTTTGGCATAACACATAGATCTTGAGTCTTCCATGCAGTGCCTTCAGGGCTTGTGGTGGGCATTTGCTTATGAATATTTTTACATAGAATAGCTTCATGTGCAGCACTCCTCACTGACAAAAACAGGCTAACATCCCTCAGCAGGGAAGAGCAATTAAAACGAATTCATTAATGTTTGTACTTGTGCTTCAGTGGCTAAACATTTGCTTGTGTTAGGTAAGACTGCCTATGTTGACTAAGCACATTAGGGACTACAAACAAATGATAATGGGTTTGATATTTGCACATCTTGAATTTTGTGGTAGGAAACAAAGCTGAGGCCACACTGTCACTGACATCCATGGCCAGCTCATAAATTCTCTCGTGAATCAGCACATTATTCTCCAACATAGTGGAAATATAAACACAGAGCTGGTTGAAGAAATTTCTAGCTATTTGTGTTTGCTGTAGACATTCGCTACTAGAGCCTCACTGACCATACATAGCCCAGAATGTTTGTCTCAGGAGATCATGTATGTTATATTTTAATCCAACAATAAGATTCACAAACTATGAACTTTTATTCCAACCTCAAAGAGCCTTAAAAAATTAGTTTTCCAAAATCACACACAAAAATCCTCAAGATTAGGTTCCATTCTTTTGTTGTTGTTGTTGTTAAGCTTGGAATGGTCACATTAGAGAGAAAGGTTTCTCCAAATAACTGATAATAAAAGTTTTATTGCCACTCTCACTCTACCTTGGTTTATTTCCACCACTTTATTTATGTGTTTATTCCGTGCCACCACTGGCTGCCCCCTTTCTCACTCTTATGTTTCTATAGCAACCATGCCATTTGTATGAATGGTGAGTCCTGGCAAAGTCCCAAATACAATCAAAAGCCTCTTTGCTGTGTTGGTGAGCATCTGAGGCCAGAACCTGGAAACCAGAAAGAATTCTCACATATGTTTCCAGGACGAAGGAAGGACATGGCCGGAAGAGTGGAAAATCTTCTCACATAAATATGAAAACGTTCTGTACAGTTGCCTAGAGGGGAGAATACAGAAAAGCCGTGACCATATGTTACAAGCATTGAAACAGGAAAGTGCTGGTAGTTCCACAGGGACAGTGGTGAGCAACCCCCGCCTCGGCTGTGAGGAGTGTCACAAAGCCTGGAGGGTGTCACAGAGGGAACCTCTCCTCACCGCTTCTGGAATGTTACTGAACTTTTCCCCACAACCCGGGCTGCCCTTTTTCTACTGCAGAGGCCAGGGCTCCTTCCAGGACTCCGTCACCCCCACACCCCATGTTAGAGGCATGACTGAGCCAGTTCCCCTGCTGTCTGCCTCCTGCTCCTGCACCCAGAGCCTGTGGGGAGACTGCCTGTGCCCAGTCAGCCTGAGATACAACAGAGAGTACACGTCAGAGCACATGCCCAGACGGTCTTTGCCTCTTTTGTCATTGGCACTTACTACTAGGGAGGGCAGCATTGCAGATAGCTGAGAGGAAGAGAATGAAAAAGACTAACAACTTTTATCCCTTCTACCGACCCCTGAAAAAAAAGTGGAAGGCCAAGGCAGCTAATGGTAAGCGTTTATAAGTGACGGAGCACAGAGCGCTGGCAGTTGACAGCGTAAGACCTGCCCCCACCAGCCCTGCGTGGAAGAGGGGGCTGCTGGCCACCCCGCTGCGCTCCCGAATGGACCACGTGATACACAATGTGTTGTGTCCACAGTGGGTCGACCCTAAATGTGGAACACTTCAGTGAGATGTCTTAAATTACAGGGTCAAAGAATGACAAACACCGCGCTACTAGTAAATTTGTGAGGTCCTTTGCTCTCTGTACTTTTTAAATGCTCTTCATATCTAACAGTAAACCTCTCAGCCTTCTAAATGAAGGAAACATGGTGCTGATTTTTAAACTTTGGGAGTTAGAAAACTGCCTTCAGTTCCCCTCCCTTACTTACACTCGGAAAGGTAAGAATTGACCAAAACACAGGGCCATCCCCTGCAAACCTGAAGGGCTGTGAACAGAACCCTCCAGGTGTGAAAGGGACAGGACATGCAGGTGTGAATGCTGGCACACACCAGTGACTGGTATTCACACACAGCATGGCGGCAGTGTAGTCATGTCCACCTTCACCTGCGGGTAGAAATGGGCACCTCTCAGGCCAGGACCAGTGCCTTGCAGGGGCATTTGCTACTGGAGAGAGAATTCATTCTACAACTTTCTGAACTCAGGATTAAATCCCCTTCATTTTCCTCTGCTGCTTGACCACATTAATGAAGCGGGGTAATCAAGTTCATCGTTTTCCCTTCCAAGGAATATTGGTTGTTTTTCTTTCTGGCTTATCATCCTTGAGTCTGCAGTTGATGTTTATCATGTCTGGTAATCATTTTCAAGACGTTAATGCCTGTGAGTAATCAGTACCTGCAATTTCAACTGAAATTTGACCGTTTCAAAGAATAGATCCCAATGTGTCAGAGGACTTCCAGAGTGAATTGTAAAATCCTCGCTCTAATGTAAGCCTGTTTTTATTAGATAAATTATAACTTTATATAATTATGAAACCCATGTTTAATACATTTTAATCCTAAATTAAAGTTCCTAATGATTTCTATCACCTCAACTTGCCTCTAGATAGAGCTTATAAATTTAATGCTCCCCACAGTGAATTAGTGCTTATTTCTGTGTTCAAAACCCTCTACAGAATGAAATTTTCATCTTCTCTAACTGATCCAAAAAACATAGCAAGCCTCTCCTTGGAGAGGGTCTTTGCTACAGCTCCCCTAATCTCTCCCATTGTTATTAAACCGACCATTTCGTCTTGATTCTTAATTAATGGAGATGGTAATCAGCTGACTTAAAAGTTCTTTTTTTAATGTTCACCTTCTTACTTCTATCACAATATATAGGCTTATAGTTAAAAGTGAACTTGTAATACGAGGCTTAGAATGGGACACAGTGTCCCTTTCTGTCCTGCGTCCCAGAAGCCACAGGATTCAAATGATCCGTTTTCTCTGTAGCTGTACACTGGCATTTCCGTTCTCCTCTCTTTCTGAAATTGCAGGCCATCACTTCTGGTTTAGTCTGGTGTCAGAGTCTCATTGCTATGGCTGTAAGCTTCCCTCAGAAAGCACCGGCCTGGAGTAGCCACGTGCATCACTCTGGGGAGCAGCTGTAGCGTCGTCTTAGCTGCTCATTCCAACTGATCCAACTTTGTGGATCACCTGGTTAATGGGTCCCAGTGGCACATGGAAACTGATATCTAATATCTAAAGATGCCCATCGATTATTTTGACTCTTCCTATGCAGAGGGGATGAAAGGGGCAGAAACTTGTTCTTCCCTTTGGAGTAGATATCCTGACATGCCCTAGAGCACGACCCTCAGAAACTTTCACACCTTCTGTCAGGCCTGTGTCCTCAGGGCGTCTCTGACTTAGAAGTCCAAAAATAGTTTCTAACTCTAATTAAGTAGTCTAAAAATCTGCACCTAATTGAGATTTCAGATGAAATATATGTATAAAGATTCACAGAAAGTATTTTTGTTGACATCCAAAAATACTTACTTCCACCAAGAACTGGAAGTAATCTGCCAAATAAGTGATGTTCTAATATTCTGTTCCTGCTCACTGGCTGGAAAGAAATGCAACTTTCCAGACGCTTACAGACAGGAAATGGCATCTTCTACTGGTTTTGTGCCAGCATTAAAAAAATACATGTATGATCTGGAGAGCAATCCAAGTACAGCTCACATCCACAAAAGCATCCTAGAAAATACGTGATAGCCTAATGAGCAAAATAAACTGACAAGTAAAATAGAAATAAAACAGACAAACAAAATAGACACAAACTCATAGATACAGAAGCAGAATCTAAGTTAAGACTGACGGCTGCCAGAGAGTAGGGGCGTTTGGGGGCTGGGTGAAAAAGGTGAAGGGATTAAGCAAAAACAAACAAAACAAAAAAAAAACCTCAAGGAAGCAGACAATGTATTACTGATTCCTGGAGGGAGAGGAGGGTTTGGGGAGAGGTAGAAGAGGATAAAGGGGGATAAATAGTGATGGAAGGAAAATTGACTTGGACTGCTGAACACACAATACAATATACAGGTGATGCATCATAGAATTGCACACCTGAAACATAAAATTTTATTAATCCATGTCAATAAATTTAATTTAAAAACGAAAATAATTGATAGTCCATGAGACTTTGGAACTGTAAGTGGCCACCTGTAAAAAGCTTAGGGTGGGAGGCTCCCTTCACTCCCCATTGCAGGCTGCAGAAATCTCACTGACTTCATCCTGCTGAGACAGAACAATGATTGTGCTTCTTTAGAAGAAGTACAGTTCCCTTACTCCTTCCAGACATTGACCCACCACCATCCTCTGCCACGTCAGCTGCAGTGCTGGAATGATCCACATCATGGAAAAATCTGCGTCCCAAAGAACAACTTCCTAGTTCCTTAACTTAGCAGAATCTACATGAAATGTTGGTTTCAAAACAAGAAATGCAGATGATACCACAAAATGTGACTCATTCCTCACTTACGTAGCATTCACTGAATGGTACAGGCACTGGGGTCCCAGACATGCAAAGAACTGAAGGCCAAGTTATGAGGCTCTGCTCCAGAGGAGTGGATGAATTGGGGCCTCATTCTGAAGAGAATGTTAATCTGGCAACAATATATTGAAAGCACTGGCATGAAAAAACCCAGAAATCTGTATATTAGATTAATTGAAGTAAATGTAATGAAAGCCTGAATTAAGGCATTGACCGTAAGAATGGAAAGGGGGATTTAAACAAAATTGGTTGAGTTTGAGACAATGGGGAGTTGTGGGTCAAAGGCTACTTTGAGATTTCAAGCTCGAAGGACTGTAATTGTGGTCCCATAGGAAAAGAGAAGGTGATTAACTCAATTTTGAAAATGTTGGGTTTGAGGAGTCAATGAGACATCATTGTAGTTGGCATCTATCAAGTACGGAAATTCATCACTAGAGAGGTAGACTTGAAAAGGTATGTATTTTACTGGATCATATTTTACTGGAAGTGAATGAGGAAAAGAATGAGATAAAAAAGGCTTAGGACCGAACCATGGGCATTAGCTTGCTTGACATGCAGATAAAGCAAAAGAATGGTGGGTGCTAAAAAGTGAGAAACTAAGAACCAAGCTTCATCAAAACCCAGAGGGCAATTTGAGAAAGAAAGTGATGGTTCCCAAAGCCAGTGGCTACTTAGTGACTAGGGCAGTTGAGGCCATAGATTTTAGCAATCAGGAAGCCAGCAGTGAGAGTAGTTTCAGTAAAGGGTAAAGGAAGAAGCCACAGTTTAAGCCATTTAGAAGCAGTACAAATCAGAGAGAGGTCAGAAAGCTAGGGGAGTGAGTAAGTAAGTTGGAAAAGTGATAAGAAAGATTTTATGGCACAAAATCAAAGGAGCGGAAAAGGATAGTATCAAAAATACTTAATAGTTATCCTGGAGATGGAAAAAGGATACATCCCCCTGAAGCAGGAAAAAATGGGGGAAAGAGAGAACAGATGGTGATACAGAACAGCGATTTTCAGTCGGTGTGCCGTGGCACACTGGTGTGCTGCAAGAGTTTTTAAAACATGCAATACCTATTTAGTCAGGGGCTCTGACCTCTTTTCCCTTAGGTTGTCAATTTAAAAAATGACAACAGCCAACACAACAATAGCCGTCTGGTGTGAATGAATCAAAATTATACCTATATTTTTTTTTGCCAGGCCGGCCGAAAATGTAATACATTTTTTGGTGTACAGTAGAATTTTAGTCATTAATGCCATGAGATGAAAAGGGTTGAAAATCACTGATACAGAGAAATTAAGATCGAAACAATGTTGTTTAAGGAACTCTTGTTAAATGGTGGCATATTTTCAGTCTTGTAAGAAATAAAGAGTCAAGTTTGACCTTACTAAGGGTAGAAATGTTTGGGACAGATCCTGTAAGAAATCTAATAAGGCGCCAAAATATTACGCAGCAAAAGATTCCAGGGCCCCATAGAGAATAATGTGAATTTGTCATGACTTTCTCAACACCCCTAAGCAACTTAATAACAGCGGTGGAGTTAACTGGGCCTTACCAAAGAGGACAGAGCGTTAGCCTATAGACAATCACGTGAGGTTTCAGAATCTCTTACCAGCAAATGCATCATTAAAGTGGCCACCAGAGGTCCAGGTGGAGTGTGGAGGGAAAGGATGCTAGTAAAAGGCGATGGATAAAGATGATGGTCTTTAAACTGCATTCACAGATTCCCCTATGAGGGAGGACAAAGGCTTGGGGTCTCATTCCAACGTCAACTGCAGTAGTTCTGTTTCCATGTGGAATATAGAGGCATCCCTTATCATCTGCCTTCATTTGAAGAGGTGGGGGGATGTGATCTGTTGCTAAAAATACTAGGAGACAAGTGAGAGGCAATGGGAGCAGAAGTCATAAGAGCAGAAAATTAGATCGTAGAGGCTGGGACAGATAGCTAATAAGGACATGTGATCACCAAGGAGGATTGAGATCTTGGAGCTCTACCCATTTCAAAGGAGGATGGGGTCCGCCCAGGGCTTTGTGGCAGAGAGCTGACAGGGTGGAATGCTAGCAATGGGAGAGCTGAAGAACCACAAACCCAGCACATTAGATTATTCCCATCATGTCAAAGGGCTTAGGACAATGAAAAGCTGTAGGTCAGAGGAGATAGACGATGAGCCAAGTCCTGAATTCAGTGAGGAAGAGGGGTAGGATCTTGTAAACAGAAAACTAAGGGTTTGAAGATGAGACAGAGCAGAAATTAGTACAGCATATGGAACTCTAAATAGGAGTGGTATGAGATAAAAAAAAAAACAAAAACAAATAAAAGATCACTACATGGAAAGCAAGCAGTATTAGAAACCCTTCTCTCTCCTTGCCCCCGTGCAGGGAGAGTGAAAGAAAACAGCTTCTGGTTGGAGAAGGTTTTGAGGTACGTGTTCTCATCAGGTTTCCATTAAAGGGCCAGAAGCCTCTGTTGGGAGGAAGTGACAGTGCGGCAGAGGGTGACCCTAAAGACAGAGCTCTTGCTCTCAGGGAGCAAAGGAGGCACAGGTCACGCCTGAGAGGAAGGCGTCCAGGAGTGCAGCAGTCAGTTGTGACATGGGTGGGGATGGGAACAAGTCAGAGATGTGTGCCTGGGGGCTGAGAAGACTATCAGAGGAACAAATGAAATAAGAGATGACAGAGTGTGTTGGAGACCCATTGGGAAGAAATAAGGACTGAAGAGACCAAATTTGAGAGTAGGAGGAATGTAGCGTTTAAATGACTCCATCATGCCAACCTGATGCTAGAATGAGGTTGATGACCAGCACTTCCTTACCACTCTGGGAGTTAGACTCAGAGCATTTCTTCAAAGCTGGAGGTCAGATTGTCTGTAAATCTTAAAGCTGAAGTAGAAAAACCATTAGACGAGTTAGCCCAACCCTCCTTCTAGATAGGAAAGAGGTTAATGGTTTCTCAGTAGTAGAACCAGGACCAGAATCCAGGTACCCTGACCGACCCTGACCCTGACCCTGTGGTGTCTTCTTCCTGCAACTCCCACAATTGCCCCTAACAGGCAGGTATGTAAGGGGAGGAGGCAACACCTTACATTGCGTATTGTGACTGAGAACTGACTAGTTCTGGGAGAGTTACGCATCTTGTTCAGCTCTGGCTAAACTTGTTACCAGAACGCCAAAATATGACCTCCCACCGTAGCCAGTGAGCTGCTCTTCAGAGCCATGATCTGTTTTAGAAATGCTGGTTTTCTGGTGCTTGCTTCAACCTGACGTCATTCTTGTTCGTGTTGCTCCTCTAGTGTCTTTAGCCTCCAGCACAGTGGGCTTGGCTGGCCAGGTCGTTCACACAGAAACCACAGAGGTGGTGCTGACGGCAGACCCTGTCACAGGATTTGGGATCCAGCTGCAGGGCAGTGTGTTTGCCACAGAGACACTCTCTTCTCCGCCTCTGATTTCCTACATTGAGGCTGACAGCCCTGCAGAGAGGTGAGACGCTTTCTTTCACAGCATCTTTTCCTGCTGTGCGTTTGTGCACCGGCTCTTTTTGGACAACTAATAAATTATGGAACAGCGCTCAATGCAGGAAATGTAAGATATAATGAACTCTCTGTTCTGACAATAAAATTTTATGTTCTTGATCAGTTTTGAGAAGAATTATTAGCATAATGCCTTTATCTAGCAGGGTTTCGTCCATCAGGGACTAAGGGTATATTAATTAAAAAGGAAAAAAATCTATTAAAAAAATCTCTAAGTTCAAATTTTAATAGCTTCTCTGCCATGGAGGGATGTACATTCATCATCACTATATATTGGTTCAGATCAGATTAGAAAAATACCATGGTGCTGAATTATTAATTACTTTGCTAGAATACTTCAAGATTCCCTTGCTCACATTGGTAGCCATGAGATGCAAAAGTGCAAGACATTGCAGTTGACCTAACTAATAGGATTCCCACAGTGTTGAATAAACAAGACCACATGGTTATGCCATTTTGCAAGGGTCAAACAAAGCAGATGTGGCAACGTCGACTGATGATAATTTACCCTCTATGCAACCTCTAACATGTGGTTCTACATTCAGATGTGGGGTCCTACAGATTGGAGACAGAGTGATGGCCATTAATGGAATTCCAACCGAAGATAGCACCTTCGAGGAAGCCAATCAGCTCCTCCGAGACTCCTCCATCACGAGCAAGGTCACCCTGGAAATCGAGTTCGATGTGGCAGGTATAACCATATCATCGCCAGCTGGCTGCCGAGTTAGGAGGGGACTGCCTGTGAATTGCATGGGTTTCGTGGCAGATGGGGAACTATTTTTTATACACTGACATGCTTTTGTTTAGGAGATTTGGGGTGTCATTTTGAATTGAACATGGTTGTTGTATTATTCATTAAAATGTCACCACAAGAACAGTAGAAAATAAATGTGACAAAATAAATAAGTAATAGCCACTATAAAGGTGATAAAAAGAAGCATGTAGCCTTTATTCTTCCTGACTTTCTCCTATATGCTAGAGAAACCATATTCTTCAGTCACGCAGACAAGAAAAGCCTCTTTTTGACCCTTCCCACTGCAAAGAACATAAGAAGGTTTGAAGGGGACCAGTGAAAATTCATTAAATAGCTGTATACAAGCTCAGTGGGTAACTATTTGGTCTCTGATGTTAAAGAGAAATTGTACCAGACACTTGTTAAAAATGAGAAGGAAGACTTTATTCAAGGCTATTGCATGAGAGAGCAAAGACAGCCAGAATTTATAGCCAGCAGGCAAGGAGAAGGAGAGGGAGTCATTGGATTGAAAATTACTAAGAGGAATTTGATTTGATATCAATGGTGGAGGGATGAGAGATGTGATTATATATTCAAGGATGGAGGGATACTCAGTAAATTGCGTTAGCAGGAGACTTGCTAAATTGGCTCCGCCGGCTAAGGGCTCGGCCAAAGACAAGTCCTAGTCAAGAAGAGGGCCCACAGGAGCCTGAATTTGATTATGAAGGGAGTCCTTGTCAGTACATGTGTGTGGGTTGTAGAGGTTGGTGCCGGTTCCCATCTAAGAAAGTTATCTTCACCCAGGGAAACAGCACCTCACAGAGCCAATAACCTTAGCCAATCCGTGCAGATGTGCCTTTGGATATAGAGATTGCATTATCTCTACATTGCTGAGTATTTACTGTGGGCCAATTTCTTTTCTATACCATGAAGGTGCAATAGTAGACAAGAAAGAAAAAATCCCTGTCTTCATGAAGCTTATATAATATCTTACAGAAAGTTAATGCTTAAGTTAACAAATATAAAGTCAGACCATAATAAGTGCTCTAAGGGAAGTAAAGCAGGATGGGGGTTAGAGAATGACAGTGGGGAGCTATTTTCATAGGATGACTTTCTAAGGAGGTGGCATTGGAGCAGAGATGTGAAGGTTGGGAAGAAGCCGGCCAGGGGAGTCTGGGAGGAGTGCATTCCAGACAGAGGGAGCAGCTGGTGTACAAGATGTGAACCAAAATAAGAGGCTGGGTGGGTCTGAGGAACAGCAAAAAGGGCTCTTGCTACAGCAGATAAGGGAGTTGGGCTAAGAATCAGGTTTGGCTTTAGAGATGGGGTGGGAGAGGTTGGAAAGCGCTCATTTATGAAGGGCCTTGGGAAAGACTATAGTGGATTAGATTCCAGATGCACTGAAGCCAAGGAGCATTTTATGGAAGGGAGCGAGGTAGCCTGGTGAATGTTTTGAAGATATCGTCTGAGATGAGAAGGGACAATAGCAGCAGCAGAAAAGCTGGTTAGGAGGTGGTGGCAGTTGGATAAGTAAGAAATAATGGCGCTAGAGATGGTGACGAATAGTGAAATTTAGGACTTGGCTAACAGAACCTGCTCATGGATTAGATATGGAAGATGAAGGATGGGGTGAGGAATATAAGGGATAGCAGTTGAGTAAATTCTGATGTCTTTAACTGTGAAGAGGACTTGAAGAGTGGAAATTTGGGGATAGCAAACATTCTAATTTAGACCTGAGCAGGTAAATCCACTGCCAATGCTAGGGAAAAAGGACAAGTACATTCATTCCTTAATCCAAAAAGCAGTTATCAAGCACCAGTTACTGAGTGCTAGGCACTGTCCTGTATTCAGATCACTGAAAGAGAAAATAGAAAGGATCGATATCGTCAAGGAGCTCATAGCCAGTTAGACAAGAGCAAGAACTGCTGAAAGATAAGAATAGACCTACTGAATGTGTGTTGCATTTCAGTTGCAAAAGGAAGTGCCCAGGCGACTACAGGCAATACCTCCTGGAGTCAGGGTCAGGCCTGGGCTCCAGAGCAGGACTCAGGAAGGAACATGCCAGAGAGTGTTCAAGTCTTTGCACTGAAGCAAACACTAGGGAAAGAGTGCCAGGAAGAGGGGACTCTGCTTAAGGAGTGCTAAGGTTTAAAGGAAAAGGATGCTAGCAAAGGAGATAACAAAGATCCACTCTTCTTTTTGGAGGAGAACCAAAAAAGGTTTTGGAAGCCAAAGCAAGAGTTTCAAGGCAGAAGTCATGGTCAATAGAGTAAAATTGCTGTGGAGAATTCAAGTGATAGGAGGCAGGAAATGTCAATGGGGTTTGGCAATTAGGAAGAAAGACATTGCAGAGTGGTTTCAGAGAACGGAGGACTAGGGTCAGACTGCAGTGAGCTGAAAAGGGAGGGAGGGGAGAGTGGAATGCAGACAAGCTGTGCTTGCTATCTGCCAAGGAATTGGTGTTTGGAAAAGGGTTTGGCAGGAAAAATGCAGTGAGCGGATAAAAGGGACTCGAGGCCTCTATGGGCTTCTCTTTTTAGAACTTCATAACATCCTATCTAATAAAGAGGTAAGATGCAAATTGACCATCACACCAACACAAGATGGCCTCCCCCATGTGGTCAAAGATGGCCATCCCCATGTGGACACAAGATGACCTCCACAAGATGGCCAGCAGGGGAGGGTAGTTGGGGGTGACCAGGCCTGCAGGGGACGGCAGTTAGGGGCGACCAGGCTGGCAGGGCTGTTAGGGACAATCAGGCCGGCATGGGAGCAGTTAGGCGTCAATAGGCTGGCAGGGGTGTGGTTAGGGGGTGATCAGGCTGGCAGGCAGGTGAGCAGTTGGAGCCAGCAGTTCTGGATTGTGAGAGGGATCCCAGATTGGAGAGGGTGCAGGCTGGGCTGAGGGACACACACACACACGCACACACACACACACACACACACACCGTACACAAATTTCGTGCACTGGGCCTCTAATTATATACTCAGTGCTCTGTTTTGTATTACTGTATCTTATATCAGTGGTTCTCAACCAAGATCTGGTATGCTGCAGGGAACATTTGGCAATGTCAAAAAAATTAGCTGTTTACCCAGCCAGCATGGCTCAGTGGTTGAGCATCCACCTATGAACCAAGAGGTCACAGTTCGATTCCCAGTCAGGGCACATGCCCCAATTTCAGGCTTGATCCCCAGTGGAGGGCATGCAGGAGACAACCAATCAATGATTTGCTCTCATTATTGATGTTTCTATCTCTCTTTCCCTCTCCCTTCCTCTCTGAAATCAATAAAAATATATTTTTAAATTAGCTATAGATGAAAGAAAGTGGGACAACAGAGGGGTATTCAGAGTTCAGAGGGGTGTTAATTTGTTTTGTTAAGATTGGAGAGATTTGAGCATGTTTGAGGCCTGAAATGAATGGAGAAAAGAGATAATTGATGAAATTGGGTCCCCAAATGGATAAGAGGGGAAGTTATCTAGAACATACAGAAATAATTAGTCTAAGACAGAAAATAGAAGAGCTCCTCCTATGAGTTTGAAGAGAAGAATGAGAGAACCTATAATAATAAAAGCACAATATGCTAATTAGATCGGATGTCCTTCAGGGACGAAGCCAGGGCTGCAGCCTCAGGATCGAGGCAGCCACCAGCAGCTACCAGGAGGGGATCAAGGCAGCCGCCGCGGCTGCAAAGGCCTACTTTTGCACAGATTTTGTGCATTGAGCCTCTAGTATAAATATATTTTTAGTTGTGATTAGGGAGTCCTTGTAGGGACTGTCAAGCAAGGGTGAAAAGGTCAGCATCTTGAGGAGCTGAAGAGTGATGAAGACTTAGAATAGCTAATGGAGAAATCAGTGAGAGAACCAACCAGACTCATGTAAAGGGATTGGCCAAGCAGAGTCCAGAAGCTCTAACCAGCATGGTCAAGTCATTCATTGTTGTTGTTGTTGTTTCATTATTTTGGCAAGGTTTTTGTTTATTTGTTTGTTTTTTGGTCAGGAGTACTGTGTGTGCATTAGCTCACGTAGCCCTATAACAACAATGGAGAAGATTACTATTATTACATCCCCAGGAAATGGAGGCCCAGCAGTTTAAGGTAGGGCTGGGATTTTAACCCAGGCGGTGCGGGTCTGAAGGCCACACTCTCACCACTATACATACTGCCTGTGTTTGCAAAAGTCTAGGATGGAGAGGGATGGAAGTTAATAAAGGATTGGCCTGACAGACTGGAAAGAAAGGGAGTACTTCAGTCACTGGGAGTCTTCAGGAAGAAAAATGGGTACAGTGAGGGATATTGAGTAGACGATTAAATTGAGCCAGAGATTAAGATTGAGGTTTCCAGAAGTTTCCAATAGATTCTAGTACTTGCTAATGACTAACGAGAGTGTTATATTGAGGATTCTGCTGCTCAGCAGGAGGATGCTGGCATCAATTAGTGATGTCTGCCATGAGCAAGGGAGAAGGGAGTGACAGGCTGGGAGCATATATTTTTCCGGTCCTCTTCTACATCATTTCTATCCGATCGATACGGGTTATTTCTGGAGTAACCGAGGGCAGAGGGAGATGCCCTTAGGTCCCTGTCTACTGTCCCTTATTTAAGCAAGCTTGGAACAATGTGGGCTTAATGGGCACAGTGTCTAATTTTTAGGAGCTTAAACCTAAGATATTAAAGCATTTAATCAACAAGTACATAAAATATACATATACATTAAGTATAGGTTAAACAGTGGACAAATATTGAGGATACACATAAAATAAAAATGTGTTTATAGCACAAGTTAATCCTTAGATACTGCTTATGAAGAAGGTCAAATTGTGCCGGCCATTCCACTGCTGGCACCCAGGGGGAAAATGCTGCTCCACGGCCCGTGGTGCACAGGAGAGCTGCCTGCTCTCAGCAAGCAATGCCAGGAGGGCAGGGTGCATTTCAGAAAGCCAGCTGTTTCATGCTGGGAACT